AACCCTTGCCTCAGGCAAGAAACCCTTGCCTCAGGCAAGAAACCCTTGCCTCCTCTTGCCTCAGGCAAGAAAAGCCTCCTCTTGCCTCAGGCAGGAAACCCTTGCCTCCTCTTGCCTCAGGCAGAAACCCTTGCCTCCTCTTGCCTCAGGCAAGAAACCCTTGCCTCAGGCAGGAAACCCTTGCCTCCTCTTGCCTCAGGCAAGAAACCCTTGCCTCAGGCAAGAAACCCTTGCCTCCTCTTGCCTCAGGCAAGAAACCCTTGCCTCAGGCCTTGCCTCTCTTGCCTCAGGCAGGAAACCCTTGCCTCCTCTTGCCTCAGGCAAACCCTTGCCTCCTCTTGCCTCAGGCAGAAACCTTGCCTCCTCTTGCCTCAGGCAAGGAACCCTTGCCTCCTCTTGCCTCAGGCAAGAAACCCTTGCCTCCTCTTGCCTCAGGCAAGAAACCCTTGCCTCCTCTTGCCTCAGGCAAGAAACCTCTTGCCTCAGGCAAGAAACCCTTGCCTCCTCTTTGCCTCAGGCAAGAAACCCTTGCCTCCTCTTGCCTTCAGGCAAGAAACCCTTGCCTCAGGCAAGAAACCCTTGGCCTCAAGAAAACCCTTGCCTCCTCTTGCCTCAGGCAAGAAACCCTTGCCTCCTCTTGCCTCAGGCAAGAAACCTTGCCTCCTTTGCCTCAGGCAAGAAAACCTCTTGCCTCAGGCAGGAAACCCTTGCCTCCTCTTGCCTCAGGCAGAAACCCTTGCCTCCTCTTGCCTCAGCAAGAAACCCCTCCTCTTGCCTCAGGCAAGAAACCCTTGCCTCCTCTTGCCTCAGGCAAGAAACCCTTGCCTCCTCTTGCCTCAGGCAGGAAACCCTTGCCTCCTCTTGCCTCAGCAAGAAAAAGAAACCCTTGCCTCCTCTTGCCTCAGGCAGGAAACTCTTGCCTCAGGCAAGAAACCCTTGCCTCCTCTTGCCTCAGGCAAGAAACCCTTGCCTCAGGCAAGAAACCCTTGCCTCCTCTTGCCTCAGGCAAGAAACCCTTGCCTCCTCTTGCCTCAGGCAGGAAACCCTTGCCTCCTCTTGCCTCAGGCAAGAAACTCTTGCCTCAGGCAAGAAACCCTTGCCTGCAAGAAATTGCCTCCTCTTGCCTCTTGCCTCAGCAAGAAACCCTTGCCTCCTCTTGCCTCAGGCAAGAAACCCTTGCCTTCCTTGCCTCCTCTTGCCTCAGGCAGGAAAACCCTTGCCTCCTCTTGCCTCAGGCAAGAAACCCTTGCCTCCTCTTGCCTCAGGCAAGAAACCCTTCCTCCTCTTGCCTCAGGCAAGAAACCCTTGCCTCCTCTTGCCTCAGGCAAGAAACCCTTGCCTCCTCTTGCCTCAGGCAAGAAACCCTTGCCTCCTCTTGCCTCTTGCCTCAGGCAGGAAACCCTTGCCTCCTCTTGCTCAGGCAAGAAACCCTTGCCTCAGGCAGGCCTCCTCTTGCCTCAGGCAGGAAACCCTTGCCTCCTCTTGCCTCAGGCAAGAAACCCTTGCCTCTCTTGCCTCAGCAAGAAACCTTGCCTCAGGCAGGAAACCCTTGCCTCCTCTTGCCTCAGGCAAGAAACCCTTGCTGAAACCTTTGCCTCTCTTGCCTCAGGCAAGAAACCCTTGCCTCCTCTTGCCTCAGGCTCAGAAACCCTTGCCTCCTCTTGCCTCAGGCAAGAAACCCTTGCTCCTCTTGCCTCAGGCAAGAAACCTCTTGCCTCAGGCAGAAACCCTTGCCTCTCTTGCCTCAGGCAAAACCCTTGCCTCCTCTTGCCTCAGGCAAGGCCTCAGGCAAAACCCTTGCCTCCTCTTGCCTCAGGCAAAACCTCTTGCCTCAGGCAGGAAACCCTTGCCTCCTCTTGCCTCAGGCAAGAAACCCTTGCCTCCTCTTGCCTCAGGCAAGAAAAGGCAGGAAACCCTTGCCTCCTCTTGCCTCAGGCAGGAAACCCTTGCCTCCTCTTGCCTCAGGCAAGAAACCCTTGCCTCAGGCAAGAAACCCTTGCCTCAGGCAAGAAACCCTTGCTCTTGCCTCAGGCAAGAAACCCTTGCCTCCTCTTGCCTCAGGCAGGAAACCCTTCCCTCCTCTTGCCTCAGGCAGAAATCTTGCCTACCTTGCCTCCTCTTGCCTCAGGCACTCAGGCAGGAAACCCTTGCCTACCCTTGCCTCCTCCTCAGGCAGAAACCTTGCCTTAGGCAGGAAACCCTTGCCTCCTCTTGCCTCAGGCAAGAAACCCTTGCCTCCTCTTGCCTCAGGCAGGAAACCCTTGCCTCAGGCAGGAAACCCTTGCCTCCTCTTGCCTCTTGCCTCCTCTTGCCTCAGGCAGGAAACCCTTGCCTCCTCTTGCCTCAGGCAGGAAACCCTTGCCTCCTCTTGCCTCAGGTGGAGTCCTACTTTGATGTTAAATTCATCATAAATGTGTACACACAGATAAACTGAAATTCATAAGTATTTTCGAATTTTGCTTTGATTGATGATGAACTCTTGGCGAGTTCGAAACGTCGTTTTATCCCATTCATATTGTGTCGTTTTATCATGTCATCAAACACGCAAATGTATGACTTTTTCCCTATGTAGGTACGACTGTTATGAGAAAGTTTGTGGTTAAATGCTTGCGTTTGGACACAATAAGGGGCAGGCTTCAAGGATGACCATACCCACGTGGATTCTCAATCAAAGGAAAAGAATCTTAACACTAGTGTCCGACACAGAAGGAAAGAATCTTCCACTAAAAGCGCTTCAGACTCGGCGCCGCATCTGATGTGACCAGTGGAGACCTGAATTCCTTTCTTCGGCAGCAGTGTTCCCCGGGGGCAAGCTTCAACAAAGCAGCTATTCAGCCTCGATGGAAAAGTGAGATCGCTGTTGTGCCAGTTGTTAACCATCGTTGAATGTCTGATGAAGAATCATATATGTTTAACTCATCCAACTGATATGAAATCCGTGACAGACAGCTGTCATTCGGGACTCTAGATGTGTGTCCAATGGGCTTCCTTGATCTTGATCCTGTCAGAGACGAAGGACGTTGCAAATACGGGATGAAGGTTTTTCTTCGCTATCATATGGCTCGCATCCGATCAAATACTCTTTACAATCAGGTCGTCATATATATGCGGCGGATGGACGAGATAGCATTGCAATGATATTAACTTAGCCCTCTCATGGCATCCTGCTCTCCCGTGCCTGGCGCTGGCACGGGAGGCCTGCTGCGTCAGTTTATTATTTCGACAATGCATCAAACTGTAGATTACTAGATTCCTTTGAGTTGCTGTTCATTTATCATTGCTTATTTGCAGTCTGCGCCTGTTCGCCGGTGTGTGTTAACTACACGTAAAGAGTCTCCCATCTGCTCATCGTGCATGCCGTGCCACACTTGTGTGTATTCACCTTTCCTTCTAAGACACTGGCAATACAAAACAAGTTCCGGTACCCCCCCCCCTCCCACTAGCGGTGACAAGATTCATCTTCATAATAGCTGCGAGGGCAAGCCAGCTCTGCTGTGTCAGCTTCGTGCGGATCCTTCATGTGCCTCTGTGTACAACAGATTCATGAGTCTCTGCTGCTTTAGCCCGTTGACCCTCGTGCCCAAAGGAACTGCAAGAACAGCAGGAAGACTTATCTCATCGCTCATCTTATCTCATGCTTGCCATTCCTCCTGCAACAAGAAGCAATGGCGGGGATTCCCTTCATTT